TAGTTTACCGAACAAAGCCAATTTTAATTTGTGTCCCCCAAACATATCTTTTAAAGATATTTTAAATTTTATACACTTACTTTATGTTTGCCTTTACGCTTTAGTGATTTCGCTCATAAGTTTTATCTCTAGGTAGAAATAGTTTACAGTGGGAGAGTAATTGAATTAATTTTATTCATGAAGACGAAATTTACTCCACTTTCAAGCCTTTCAACAAAACCACCTTCTGACATACATATAATTAAAATGCATAGTTTTCAATTGGTGAATTTTCTTCACTATTCCCAGCCAAAAGACTTCTGCAGATTTCAGTAAATTTCAACTCCATTGCAATAGTAGATAGATGCCAAGTGCCAACAGGAACACTAATATAAGTAACGGGCCTAACGGCTTCCATAAACACAAAATTGGCTTCTTAAATAAGATTTCCAATGTGGTAAATTAATCAATAAGTAGAAGAATAAATTAACAGATATGTTTCACACATCTTTGATAGCCTTTCTTTAATACCTTCCAATCTCCCATGATTCTAACATTTTAACATAATCCAATCATGCTTTACTAAACTATAAAGCCTTCAGACACCTTAATATTGTAAGGGGAACAAGAAGGGATAAATGAGAGTTATAACTTTTTTTTAATTAAAAAATTAAAATGAGTGTGTTTTTTTTGTTTTTTTTTTTGTTTTTTTTTTTTTTAGGTTTTAACATTCTTATGATATGTTGTAGTAGTAAATTAGCATGTCACATAAGAATTATTAGAAGATTTGTTATAGTATGACTGTCAATTAAGTAATTGAATTGAAATTTGAAGTTCAATGAAATCAATTGAAACTAAACTGAAGTTCAATAGCTCAATTGAAACTAAATTAAATTCTAGTGACCTAATTGAGAATCTTCTGATAGTTCAGTGACCGCATTGAAATTTACTGGCTTATAGGCCAAAAGGCCCAAACCCTAAATGCATGCAGCATGTATACTGGAATTTCATTTTCCCCCAAATCCGCTCAAAATTCAGTCCACTTCCACATTTTCGTTTTTCTTTTTTGAAGCTACCAACAGGTAAATACTAAAATATACTTATTAGTATATTTCTGTGGCATGGATTTTCTTGATTTTTCTCTAATTAAGCATTCTTGTTCCTGTAATTTTATTTAGATGACTTGACTTTTTCAGGCTTGGAATTATTTTGTAGAGTTTCTGATTTTGCTGCATAATTTCAACCAGCAAACTTAAAGACCAAAGTTCAAGACTAAAATTCATACACTGCTGTAGCCTGCAGTCGGCTCGGCACTCGGCAAAAGCTGAAGGGCGCCGGGCGGACAGGCGACTACCGGACTGGAGTGGGGACTGACGACAGTGACGAGCAGAGCTGCAGGCGTCGAGCAGCAGAGCAGATACAGCTTGGGAAATTTTAGATTTTGGGAGTTTTTGATTGAATTGAATTTTGGGAATTTTTGGTTAATTGGGTTGGATAGTGGATATTAGATCGGTAAATTGGGTTGGGTAAATAATTTGAAAGGGAAATGGATTGTGGGCTCGTTGATAATTGGTTTTGGTTTTTTGGGCCGACTGTTTTTAAGAGGGAAAAAAATTATTGGGCCAAAATTAGGCCCTTTAAGCCGGCTGGATAATTGGTTTTGGTTTGGGCCAGTTTGTTTTCAAGAAAAAGAAAAAAAAATTAATTGGATCAAAACGAGGCCCCCTATGGTCCTGGGCCTGAGGCGCGGGCCTCACTCGCCTCAGCCCAGGACCGGCCCTGGTTTCACCCAGTCCAGCAGGCGGTAGAGAGGTCGAGCCGTTCTTCCGAAGACGTGAGGGTGGTGGCTGTCGGCAAGACCAAACTCATTTCCCTTATCCAACAAGTCTATGACGCAGGTCACCAGTGCTTTGGTGAAAAGTATGTCCAAGAAATTGTTGAAAAACGCCCCTCAGCTGCCGAAGGACATTACTTGGCATTTTATTGGGCATTTGTAGAGTAATAAAGTGAAAACTCTATTGATTGTTGTCCAAATTTAGATATGGTTGAAGGCGTAGTAAATGCGAAGCTTGCCAATCATCTGGATCGTGTAGTTTCAAACATCGAGTGGTAGCCTTTGAAGGTCTTACCAATTGTGTAGATCTTGTAAAGCATGTCAACCTACGTTGCCCAAATCTCGCGATCCTTGGCTTAATGACCATAGGGGTGTCCAACTACACGTCAACTCCCGAGAACTTCAAGACTAATAGACTGTAGATCCAAGGTGCTTAGAATGGCAGAATCCCAATGTGTGTTATCAATGGGCATGTCTGGTGACTTTGAACTTGCGATTGAAATGGACAGTACCAATGTGAGAGTTGGATCGACTATATTTGGTGGATTGTAACTGGTCTATGGCGTGGAATATATGGGTTTTGTAGTGGTTGGGCATGCAAGAATTAATGGAGCAAGCTAGTGGGCTGCTGGAGTAATTGGGCTAATTATTTAATTGGTTTGATTTTATTGTGGATTATTAGCTTGTGTGGGCATCTTGGGCCAGGGTTTGAAGTGATTTTAAAAGTTGATGACTAAATTCATACCTTTATTTTGTAATATAGATACTTAGAATTAGCAGTGTCCTTGCACTGGTTTCCATATTGTTGGTTACTTTTTTATTTCAGTTATAAATTTGCAATTATTGGGTACGTATTGATTTATAGGCCAAAAGTTTCATAGCCAGCCTCAGAGGTTACTGTCAGTTTAGTAAGGCATTGTGTACATTCTGGATATATAGGGTCATTTTACTTTATAGAAAACATATCAAATCAATTTATTGAAGTGCTGCATAGCATATTCTTTTCTGCCTTTTGGAGTCCTTGAGTCGTCGTCATCAGAAACTTGTACACGCTTCTACCAAGTGACTCACCATAACAATTTCTCTCTGCTATCTGCAAATCCACTTGCCACTAATAGTCTTTCGTCAATTTTGACTTTTGAGAGCTCTCTATAAGCTCCCGGATATCGGAATTTTAATAGTTACAATCTAACCGTCCATAGCCGTGTATAACTTCATTTCTTTGTTAGCCTCTTGGAATGCTTGTTTTAAGGGCAGAGTTTGCTGCAGATATAGCACAGGCTTGTTGAGTAGGGTGGTCAATGGCTTATACCTCAAAATCTTCATCTTATATTCATGTAGTTGCAATCACTAGATGTTTCATTAATCACTTCAATTTTTGCCGGTCTTCTGCGGAATTCTTGAACGGTTTTAAGTTTTTCTAGGAACTCTATTTGCCAACTGTTTCTTGTTCTCTACAAATTGTTGTTTTCTCCATTAATCTTCATTTTAAATTATTTTGGTGTTTGTTGTCCATTCCCATTATTTATCACCCACACATCGCCCTTTGTTTGTGACAATTTATTTAGAACTATGCTATTAAAAAATGTGCAGCTTTTTTGACGTATGAGGTGTAAGAATTAGTGTCTTGATTGTTTAAGTGTTGTTAAAATCAATGGCAAAAATATTGTTCATGTTAGATTCTGTTAATAAAATTTTGAAGCATAATGTAACTGTAGCTGCACTAACTTATTTATAATAAAGAACTTTTCTCCTCAAAAAGATTCGAATATAGAATAAGAGTCTGTTTATCTCCCATTATTGAAGAAATTATAGAGTTTTGAATAGTATTTTTTAAAGAATGTGCAGTTAAAATTTAAAGAGATTTTATTGGTCTGTGTGTAGAATATTTTATTGTGTGAATGTGTGGTGGAGAATATTACTGTAGTAAATAATTTAACTTGTTAAAGGATGACAAATAATGGCTAAGGTAGATTTTGTTCATCCCATGTAGAACATGAATTGTTTAATTTATCCCACGTCGACAGAGGAATACTTAATCGTCTCCTATGTTCTCATATGTATATAGTGGTTTTGAAGTTTGGAGATTTTCCACTAGCAATATGATAACAGATTATCTAGTGCTGAGATTTGAAGTCCTTTGTAATTTCATACTATAGAGGAATTAGGAATAGAATTTTGGTGTAGTTTGATACTATAGAGATAGAGAATTTTGGTATGAATATATTGTAATATATTGTTTGGTGTTTTTTTATTTGAATATTTGTAACATCTCTTAATATATGTTTTATAAAAAATTTCTATTTTTGGGATTGAACGTGTTCTACTTTCAACAATACACAATAAGTCAATCATTTTACATTAAAAGAAAGAAAAAAAAAAAAAAAAAAACCAAATTCTGCAGTCCAAAGGTTGAAAATCTAATGGTTCACTGTTTGTATGTGCGGAGAAGGCGGCTGCCCAAATTCATTTAGAAGACGAAAAAGTCAAACAAAAAAGTCAATAATATTAAAAAAGAGAGAAGAATACAAGTTTTGAATGAAAATAATCCATGAATATTCTTCCATTCAAACATATGATTTCAAGGTGTGATTAGGCAGTGGCGTTTTGAAAAATACATGTTTATATAATATTTCAAATTGATCTCAAGAACATATATATATTCAATATTATTGAGTAATTGTGATACATAATATTTCGTAGGCGATCTTAACTGTGAGCTTTAATTCCTCGTAAAGTAACTTTGATTCTTTTCCTTTAACGCGAGATTTATTATGTACATTTGAGTTGCCATCCGCAACATCACACATCTGAAGCATTTACTATATGTCACTCTAGATGATTGTCATATGTCCTCTTTGGCACAAATTAAAAATATCCTTAAGAAGATAGTACGATGAATTTGATATCGATGGTCGACCTCTACTGCTCAATATCATCAAAAGTATATGAGGAATTAAAGGAGAGAATAAATAAATTATAAAGACCAAATCATCACCCCAAGATCGAAAATAATGGAATGCATATGATTTGCTTCACCTGATGAATTATTTTCATTATTTAATTCAATTTCTGTCGCTATCATTAATTAATTATAATATTGAAAAGAAAAAAAAATGAAGTACGCATCTTATTTGGCGTTGGGTTTGGTTCGGCTCCCTCTGGACTTTGTTTGTTTATAAGTACCCACCCCACCCCACCCCTCCCCTACCCTAACCTAACCTAAGCTACCCTAATACATACTAAGCTCTCTTCTTCTCCTCTCTTTGTTTCTACCTTTCATCTCTGATACTAAACAAGCAGAAGATTTCATGGTCAGTTGTTCTGTATATATTTCATGTTCATATTAAGTTTTCTTTATCATATGAATATTCTTTGATTTGGTGATTGAATTAGGGAGGTGGTGATGAAGAAAACGAGAGCAAGTGGCCGCTGTGGCTCCGCCCTCTTCTACAAACAACCTTCTTTAATCAATGCAAACTTCATGCCAGTTCCCATAAGAGTGAATGCAACATGTATTGCTTGGACTGCATCAATGGACCTCTTTGTTCCCTCTGCCTCAATTTGCACAAGGATCATCGAGCCATTCAGGTCCGTCCCAAATGTCAAACAGCTTCAACTTTTAGATGAAATGGTTAATTCTGGGGAATTGACTTGTTGGTTTCAATTTGAACAGATAAGGAGATCATCCTACCATGATGTAATAAGGGTGTCTGAGATTCACAAGTATATGGACATAACCGGAGTACAAACTTATGTGATAAACAGTGCCAAAATCGTGTTCTTGAATGAACGGCCACAGCCTAGGCCTGGTAAAGGTGTCACCAATACCTGTCGAGTCTGTCACCGAACCCTTGTCGATTCCTTCGCTTATTGCTCCCTTGCCTGCAAGGTACTTATTCTCACATTTTACTGCATAGTATAGTATGTAAATTTCTTAGATATAATCTGTCATCTTTATGTCAATTTTTGTTATAAAAACAAGAAGAGAACCAAAGGCAGGCAAGCATTCGTTTTTATCAAAAAAGCAAGAGAATTGGAATCTGATTCGTTTTCCTTATATGTTAAATCAATGAAAATGCTATTTTGGGATTCTTATCCCACTATAGTGACTGAATGGGTTGGTAATATTGAATGGTTCAGATTGTTGGGACGTCCAAGAATTTCGAAAACAAGAAAATACACACCGAGGTGGAGGAAGAATCCATGATTGTTAGGAACAAAACAAAGAGCTATGGGCCATCAACACCTCCAAATTACACAAACGCAAAAAGGAGAAAGGGGATCCCTCACAGAGCTCCTACAGGTGCACTTATTATGGAATACTAAATGAATTCAATTTCAGTTCCGGCATACCGAGCTTTGTCGATAGAAGCCGAAGTTGGAGTAGGAGTCGGAGTCAGAAACACACCATAAGACTACATCTATACGCCATCCATCTGTATGATATCATCATCCACATCAAGAAACCAGTTTGATTCAAGTCAAGGCGAGTTTTATGCAGTAGTTTAATAGTAGATTTTCTGGTATGACATACATAGTCATGGAATTGGAAGACGAATAATGAATAAATGTGTACCCAGAAATCATTGAAATGTAAAATTAAGAAAGAAAGGGAAAAACATAAAGGAGGCCCTAAATTGTGAATATAACTTGTGTTCGTTTTGTAACAGGCAGAGTACATGTTATCTTGAGTTATGTATGATGGTTTACATTTGTGAGTTAAATTGTTAGTAATAAAAATAAAAATAAATACAACGAGAAATGAGAATGATTTTATCCAAAAAATCTATAACATACATAAATAAGTCTGGATTAACAAACATAAATAAGTCTGGATATTCCAATTTTTAGAACATTTGAGTAAAGAATGTGATAGAGATGGAAATAAAGAGAGGCAGAAAGAGGCGAGGACAAGGAGCAATTCAGTATTTTATTTTCTGCTTTTTACTGGTAATGACCCATTAATAAAGTGTGTACCATTTATTTACAGAGAAAAAGTTGATCTAACACATTCTTATTACCACATACAAACTCGTCGCACATGGAAAATAGAGTGGAGTTTAAGCAATAATAATAAGTTAAAAAGAGTTCAAACATGGAAAAGTGGGATTCCTGAGATAGAAACATGTCATTCCCCATTTTCATAATTTCCATCACTCTTTATCAATTCACAGCCTCCGCCAGTCAAACCAACTTTTTCCACACCTCCACATGTTGGTTAATGAATTTTAATCATCACGATAGAAAATTAATTTTTCTTTGAAGATTAAAATCATGTAAATAAAAATATTAGTGACCTTGAGATCACTGAATTATAAAATCCTCACACATAGAAAGAGGAGATGATAACCTTTTTGAAGGAGATATTAATGACTTAGCCAATTGTTTCCTCCTTTAAATCTTCTCCCTTATTCTCCACTAGGTATAATTCATTTTTGATGAAAGTGAAAATGGCTAACCCTAATTTTCATTAAAAATATGTCAATAAAGTGCATATTTATTATGTCCTATTAGGGTTTGAAAATTGTACAAATTTTCTTGGACTTTATTGTAGTAGGCTAATTAAGTCACATACCTTTTATTGGAGCCAAGAGAGGGACCTAATCGGACTCACATGACCCAAACTCCAATAGATATTTTCAATTGGGTCAACTCTTGACCAATTGAGATACATCTATTAATCCCGACTTATTCTACCAAAAAATTGAGATTGCACTCTCGAGTTGAGTGATAGTTATAGAAGCAAATTATGATTCAATAACAATATCCTCTAATTATCGTTCTACAAGTCAACCCCCATTTGATCGTCAATATGTTGAAACTGACAAAATGATCGTTTTGCCCTTCAAAATATATTACCCTCTAAGTCCCATTTTCATATGACAAATTCGTTATGATCAAATCACAATGTAAAGTCCAACGATCTCATCGTCGACCTACTGAGCTCGGATTCAATTTACCTAGGAAAATACCTTAGAGTAACGATTGTCTTATCTCAATGATTAATGGATTCCAATATTATAAGTATATGATCTCTAATTGTTTCAGCCCGATTCCCAAAACATCGATATCAATTTTCTATTTAAGACTTCACTCATTGGTACCTCAAAGAACTTGAACTAGCAATCAAAGGTACATTACTCACTTAGGATTTAGGTGACCTGTTTGATAATCAAGTAGAGTCTCATTTCAAACGGTTACAAATGAGTTATCTACGCGGTCCCGTTCAATGTGCATCGAAACACATTATTGTTCCTATTTCAAGATCTAGACAAATTTTAATAAAAACAATACAATCTTATCAACATAAAGTGTTCAACTTTATGAACCGATTGTGAACGACATAATTTTGATCACATTACAAATTGTGTCTTATTATACCCGATCCATCGAGTATATAATTTGTGACATCCTATATAATTATGGAACCTTAGACAATTACTTCAAATTATAACACGCAAATAAACGAACGTAAATTCATAATATGATTTTACAGAACACTACTCGAAGAACGGGCATCAAACTAACACCACCTCCATTGTCTGTAAAATAATGAACGTATATAATTCATTGTTGGCTGCTTCTCTGTTAAGCAGCCCGGCCCACCAAAATCCAAGTTGGTTATCACAGAACACAAACTCATTTATTTGTTTCTATTCTTGACAATACAAACAGAACAGATTTCAATGTGTTCTGTGCACAATTTAGTCATAAGAAAAGTACCTCACAAGTCTGACAATCACGGCAGGCAGGGGCGTTTACATGACAATTGTCCAAAGGCAATAAATTATGGATGTACAAAGTACAAACCACTAACCATAAAACTTGTATCGTCTCATGTGTATGGTCCACTGCTTACCGATAAGCACAAAATTACTCGTGTAGAAGCATGATTCAGTAAACATGCAAGGCGACTAATTAAATGGCAACGAACATTTAAAACTCACTTACACTACTTCAACCCCCAATTTCCAAACATTAGTTGTAATGCTTTTACTTTCAACTCTACAACTCGTTCAATTTTGATCCCACAATTTGTGCTTTTTTATATTAAATTAATAATTTATGAAATTCGCTGAGCAATTAGATTCTGAGAGCACATGAGAGCAGCAAGTCTTATAGAAAACCTGCATCAACACCCAATATTCTCAACAAGAAACATTGTATGCCCTTTTAATAAATCCACCTATACAACCAAAACCACGAATCGTTTGCAGCAGAATGTGCTTGCATTGATGAAATCATGCCCCACAATCAATTCAAGAAATACTCATACAACACTGTCGATCCACTCATCATCTCTAAATGATTTTATCAAGTTCATGCCATTTCTGAAGGAACTTCTAGTTTTTGTGCCAACAATAAGTTGCAGATGCTTTGAAGCATCTAGTTTGTATTGGGAAAGTATCTTATTTGATTAATGGTTAAACCCTTGAAGTAGACTCCAAATGATAAAATGTACTAATTAAAGTAAAAGAAATTAGGTGCCATGCCTTAAGGTGGGCCATATCACTATTGAAATTTGAAGCCTGGATTTAGATTTTTTCGTGGATAATGTGACTTCACTTCACTTCTCACTTCCCAGATAATGATGCATCCCTACACTGAAGTCGAGGAATGTCGTGTGTTTGTTGATTTTTATCTGTAATTTATTTCTTTTATTACTCTTGAATCTAAAGTAATCACCAAGGGAAAAAATTTGACATAGCACAATGATCAAGTTGAATGGAATTGAAGAGTTGGTTGCGTATAGAAGTTGGAGCTTTTCGATCTACTGAATAATGTATGTGGTTTAAAGATAAGTTTCTATGTCAATTTTTTTATAGCACAGATGACTGATATGACTTAAGAATTGCGAAAGATTTGAAAAAAAAAAAAAAAAAGGCACGCGAGTATTGGTACCTTTCAGCTGTCACTGTGAATAAATGGCCGGGGCATGTCTCCAAGTTGGTTCCCTAGGGATGAGTTTTGATATTAGGGTCAGCTTTCCTATAATGATAATATATTATATGCCTGTTAGACTCCTCATTCTCCCTCAAGATGTTAGAATGTGATAATGCATCCCGGAATTATGTCCATGGCATGAGAAACAAACATTTTGATTTTGGGCATGGACCTGATGCAATCTTCCATGTAGGCCGTTTTCTGACTTGACGATTGGAGTGTAAACTGAGTATCTCAGTACGTTACTCATTTTAATTGACAGATGCAATGGATTTCCCTTTGAAATTAATTTGAAAGTGTATGGTATAAATATCATAAGCTTTACAGGGAGGATACTTTGAGTGAGAATTTGAGAGATTGAAAATTCGAAAAATGTTCAGATGACCAACAAACAGATACTTATTCATCATTAAACTTAATAAATGGGAAAGAAACTCCCTGCAGATAGCATGCTTGTCTAAGGTTATAAGGTGCTATAAGCACCTTGTAGGATAATAGCAATTTATAAGCATAGCCAAACATGCTTTTTATATATTCTGATTTCAGGGAGGACAGGATCTTACATTTCATGTTGCATCTACATCTACATGGTGCTCACCCCTCACAAATATTGCACTTGAAAAAACTCCATGGTTTTGGCCACTCCATCCATAATTTCAATCTGACTGGCAACTTGCATGTCCTTGACTGATGGGAGGCTGATTAATTCTATCTTAAACACACTGCTCTGTGTGGAAAAAGCAGGCCTTGAAGAAATGTTATGATATTATTAGTTAATAAAATAATAATACATAAATGAAGACTTTCTTAAGCTCTTTAAATCTTATCTGGAATTTATTACTCTAGCAGCATCACAAGTGTAGTTGAGTGATTTTTCTATAGTTTTAAACCTCTTCTGGGCTGCAATCTGGGTTAGGTGAGGTGTATGTTTTCCGCTGGATATAGAGTTTGACCTTAATGTCTCCAGATTTTTAGCTTGTGGGTGTAACGTCTTGCTCATTCCTCTTTCTGGTAATGGTTTGGTGATCCGAGGACATCAGATTTGGTTTGCAAGCTGTCCAGGTGGTAGGGATGTGAGTGCTAATTAGCTGTTTGGGCTCCATTAATGCCCTTTCCTTTTCTTCTTTTCAATAATACATTTCTCAATAAAATAATATTATACGTGGAATCAAAAAAATTTCTTCTTTTTTAACTATACATTTTCCAAAAATATCAGTATTCCAAAATACATTTCGTTGGATAAATTTCACTGGATTGGAGTAGAAATCATGAAACACGAACCGGCAATACCAAGAACAAGACAATCACGAACTTGTATCAACGAATGACTTGAACACGATATCGTTGTTCTCAAACGATATTTGATCCTTCTCCTAATAATTTGAGATGCTTCGAACATCAATGGCAAATGGTTTGTAGGATTTTAACAAGCCTTGACAATAATTAATCACCAAAGTATAAGTGAAAATCCTTGAAAATTTGAAGAACACAAGGGTTGAAGATGAATATGAATGAACAAAATTTGATCTTTGATTGTGGAGTAATATAGGATCTCTAATGTTTTTGATGTGTTTTTGCCTTCAATATGGATCCGCTATTTATAGGCATAAACCACATGTACGAAATGGTGCCAAAACATGAGCCAAAAGGCACCAAATTCAAATTCACAACGGAAGAAAACGGCTGCCAACGGTCTAGAATTTAAACCACCCATGCGGGCACATGGTTAAGAGAAGAAATGGCCTAG